GGAGGGGCAGGTAGGCGCCCGGGGCCCCGCTCCGCTCTGTCCCGTCGCGACCCGACGGCAGGTGCGCCCCGCCGGGGGTTGCTCGCGCTCCGCATCCGCGGGGCGCCCCCGGTGTGCGCGGAGCCGCCGCGTGCCGAGCAGCGCCGCGCTCGGTGCCCGCCGCCTCCTGCCGCTGCCCCGGAGCCGCCTGCCCGGTAACTGCCCCCCACCGGGGGTCCCGGAGTCCCCCCCGGCGCTAAGGCTGCCGCTGTTCCCCGCCTTTCTGTAGAACCACTTCCCACACCGTCCCATGCGGCCGCCCCAAGGCGGCGGGGATGGGGGCTCGGCAGGGATGGGGGCGGCCCGGAATCTCCCGCGCCCGCGGCAGCGCCGGGAACAAAGAGCCGGGCCGGCCGGGAGGCGCCCTGGCCAGGCCCGGCCCGGGCTGCGACATCCCGGGACAAAGCGGCCGGGCCGGGCACGGCGGGGCGCCCCGGGCCTCCCCTCCGTCCCGTGCAACAGGTAGCGCGGCCGCTGCCGCACTGCGGAGGGCCGGGCCAGCACGGAGCAAAGCCGGCGCTTTGCCTTCCAAAATCCTTGAAAAGCGAGTAAGAAGGCAGCTGAGCTAAACCCTGGGCACGAGTGTGTTTAGCACAATCAACATCACTGCACGAACCTCCCCTGCATCCAGCAGGACCTGCTCCAGGATTCCCTTTTCCAATTAGTTAAAGGGAGGGGTTTGGGAGCAAGAGTCACACTGGGAGCCCTGGCTGTGAGGAAGGTGCCTGGAAGGGGCCCTGGCTCCGGACAAGGGAGCTGTCCCTGGGCTCCCGAAGTTGCTCAGAGCTGCGCCGTAGGATTGTGAGCCACTCTGAGCCTCCATCTCGCTCCTTTGGACACCCCTGAGGCTCTGAGTTGTGGCYGGGTGGGTCCCTGCTCTCCAGCCTGTGAAGGTCCCTCTAGATAGGGACATGGTGACCACGGGGAAATGCTGTTGCTCAGTATTTGTGAGAGAGGAGCAGAGAGACCCCAGGCACCAAGCGGGGAGCCCCGTGAGAAAGGGGCCCCATCCCTGGGAGGGCTGATGCCCATGCAGCAGATGCAAAGCAAGTGCCCGGACTCAGGCATCCGCTCCGTGTGGTCCCTGGGAGAGCGATGTCCTGCCGGGCACCCTGGGCTGACACGATGCCCAGGAGAGCGGCATCCTGCCGGGTGCCCTGTCTGACGCGGCCTCCCTGTCCCCRCAGTGGCCTGTCACAGGAGGCGGGCAGCGTGGAGCAGCTGGCCCTGCGCTGCGCCGAGGGCTCTCTCGAATGGCTCTACCCCACCGGGGCTCTGCGCCTCAGCCTCTCTCCCCGGCTGCCCGCAGTGCCCGCTGGCCCGGGCAGCRGCGCCAAGCGCCTCAGCGCCTGCATCAAGCCCGCCGGCTCCTTCCGGGGCGCGCAGCTCTACCTGGAGCGGGACGGCGTCCTGGAGCTGCTGCTGGCCGAGGCGGAGGCAGCGTCGCGGCCGCGCGCGCGCTGCTTCAGCTGGCTGCCCCGCGAGAAGGTGGCCCTGTTCCTGCAGGCCACGCCGCACCGCGACATCAGCCGCCGCATCGCTGCCTTCCGCTACGAGCTGCGCGGTGGCACCCTGCCCGCCGGCGGCGAAGGTGAGCGCGGGGCCAAGGCGCTGGGGGACAGAGATGCTGCAGCCCCAAGAGTTAACTGGCCAACCAGGAACCCTCGGTGCTCACCTCTAACATGGGGTTAGGTTTCCTGTCCMCTTGAGGGGTTGGGGAGGGATCTTGGGTCCTGTCTCCCCTCCTGGGGCCTTCCCTGCAGTGGGGGAGAGGATTGGGCCCCTTGGAGGAGGTGATGGAGCCCATGGGGGAGCCCGAGGGCCAGTCTCGCTCTGAGGCTGGCGGCCTGTGACCACGCTCTGCTTGGCCTCTGCAGGGACATGCCGGCCGTGCAATGACACCGAGATCCTGATGGCCATTTGCACTAGTGACTTTGGTGAGTCCGGCCTCCCGGGAGGCCCTTGCTCCCTCTTCCCTCTCCCTGGGAGGGGAGGAGGGGGCCCCGTCTCCCTGCCTGCAGGGCAGGGAGCTCAGAGCAGGGGGGCCACAGTGCCCCAGGGTGGCACATGCTCGGCTGCTCCAAGAGGCCRATGCCCTCCGGTATGTCCTGGTCCCAGGGAGAGCCGTGGTGCCTGCAGAGCTCGTGCCCATCATGGCAATTCCCAGCCCGTTGCATGCCCCATGCCACAAGAGCAAACAGAGCCCTGGCTCCTCCGTGTATCCCGGCACACGGCTGAGCTCCGTTGGGCAGTTTCCCGTTGTCCCCGCATGCTCCGTGAGCCCCAGCCATCCATCCCCAATCCCTGGGACACGGGCCCCGCGGCGGGCTGGGGTGGCRGCACCGCCGCTGGCGCTGGCTGAGCCGCAGCCCTCGGCCCGCAGTGGTGCGCGGCAGCATCCGCAGCGTCTCCAACGACGCCGAGCTGCAGGAGGCGGTGATCGGCGTGAGCGCCACGCGCATCCACCGGCAGAAGTTCCCGCTGTTCCAGCCGCAGGGCAAGGCCGGCCGCTGGGCGGGCAGCATCCGCACGCCGCTGCGCTGCGGCGCCAAGCCGGGYGCCGGCACCTTCCTCTTCACGGGGTGGCTGCGCTTCGGCGAGGCCTGGCTCAGCTGCGCGCCCCGCTACAAGGACTTCCAGCGCATCTACGCRGGCGCCCGCCTGGCGCGCCAGAACCCCTGCGAGTTCCCCTCGGACTGAGCGCTGCCAGCGGGGCCCGCGGGGCAGCCGGCACCCCGGAGTGCGGCCGGGAAGGCACCCGCGGCGGCTGCCCTGCGAAAACCTTGTCCCTAGGGAGAGGGTTTTCCCGGGGCGCGGAGGGGATGCGGAGAAGGGCTGGGGCCGGCAGGGCTGGGGAGGTGGCTGGGAAGAGGGCTCAGCCTCGGCGGGGCTGCGGGAGGTTGTGAGACGTCGGTGCAGGGGGGACAGGGAGAGAGCGGAGAAGGAGCCCGCCCGGGAAGCAGGAGCGGGGCAGAAGGGCTGAGGATGAGGAGCGAGGCTGAAGGAGCGAGAGGGGAAGTGCGAGGTGTGGAGAGGGAAGCAGTGGGGAGGCAGCGGGGCCCGGGACGCGAGGGGGGATGGCGGGTGCCCATGGGGAAGGGGACAYGCAAGTGGCGGACACCGGCCATGTGGAGAGCTCGGCACGTGGCGGCAGCGCCCGCGGGTGCCGCTCAACGGCTGGGGGTGGCATCATATGTGCACTAAAGTTATAACGATACCAAATTTGTGACTTGCTTTTTTTATATATATAAACTAAACTGTATTTGTAAGGCACGTGTTTTACTATTTTTTAAGAAAAGAAGCCGATGYTAAAGGAGACATGACTGTGGAGGAGGTTTCGGGAGCGACACAGCCCTGCGCTGCTGCCACCGGCTCCGGCTGCTCGTGCATGCCGTGGCCATTCCCATGGGGTGGGCGCAAGCTCCGCAAGGCCTTTTCCGGGGGTTAAAAGAACCCCTTGTGTTCGCCTCCCGCGGGTGTCGGAATGACGTGTTGGGGATGGGAAAGCGGCGTCTTGAGAGCTCCCCGCGGCCCCGCTCCGCGCCCCAGGCTCCCGCTGGGATCGCTGCCCCTCGCGGCAGCCGGAGGGTCGTGGCGAGGGGGCCGCGCAGGGCGACGCTGCCGCTCGTCCGAGGGGCTGTCAGGCCTAATTCCCGTCACCACCCGCGAGCCACAAGGCCTCATTGTGCCAGGCTGTTCGAGGCGGTTTTCCCAGCCTGAACTTGGCCCTTGGCACCGTGCGGGGACAGTTCCCATCCCTCCTGCGTCCCCCCCAGACCCCCGCTCTTATTAAATGAATTCCTGCTTTTTTCGCCCGCCCAGCATCCCTGYGGGATCCCTTTGGCCGAAATGGCTGTGGAGTCAGGAGCCCTCCCGGTCCGGTGGGGAAGGGCCCCACATTTCACCCTGGTCAGGATCACAGCCAGCCCGAGTGGATGGGGGCTGATCCACACGCTGCCCGGAAAAAGGGAAAGAGGAATGGGAAGATGGGAAAGAGCATCAATCCTAGGAAGCGGSGGGGAAATTCAGGGTTCCCTGTCTCCGTTTGAGCTCTGTGCAAGAGCCGCTGGCAGGTTTGTTCTTTAACATCTTCCTGATCCTGCGTTTCCGCTATTAAAACCCTTCTCCTAAGGGGGCTGCTCTAACTAGCTGGGGGGACCAGATATTCCATTCACCCACTGCCTATTGCTTGCTTTTCCCAGGCAAGAAATTCGGTTTACAAAGCAAGCTGCTGCTTTTGGGGTTTAATTAGAAAGCTCTACAATTAAAAAGGGCGAAAATTACCCATTTCAGGTAAGATCACGCCTGTCGGCTTGCAGCAGCGAGCCCTGACACTGCCCTTTATCCAAGGCACATAGTTTTGCCCTGAGAACGGCTCCGTGCTCCTTTTACGCGCCGCTGATATGGGGCCAATCTTTATTTGGGSTGAGCGTGGGGAGATCCAGGCCACGGTGCCGCCGGAGCATCCCAGCAAGCTAGCTGGGAGCCTTGGGGGCGGAAAAAGAGCAAGCCAAGCAGAAAGAAGGCAAAGAATGGGGAAAAGCGGCGAGGGGGCCAAAATGACAAGGGAAAGCCAATAAATGAGGCGCACACAAAGGGAACGACACCGCCCGCGCAACCTCCCCGCTAAACTGCGCCTAAATGATGGTTTCGCTGACCCCACCTCAATCCCGCGCATTCCTCTCGGCTAAGTTATTGCATTTAATGCRCAGAACATCCGGTGGGTTTGGGGCCAGGCGGGGAGTAAAATGTTTTTCTTCGAATCTGTTTATTTGGCCAAATCAAATGGTGGCGGCGCGGCGGAAAGGGCTGTCGCTCTGCTCTTTCTCCGACGCGGAATTTTTTCGTGTTGTTTTCGGTGCCCTCTGCCCTTTGTTAGATTCGGGCGCCCGCCCCCGCTTCCCGCCGTCCGCTCGCCTGCTGCGGCACCGGGGATGGTGCCGGGGCCGGGAGCCAGTGCGAGGAACCGGGCGAGACGCGGGGATGGAGCCCATGGGTGCAACGGGAGCAGCGGAGCAGGGGCTGGCTTGGGATAAAGGAGCCTGGCACCCTGCACCACGGAGCCTTTTCCATGTGGATGGAGCTGCATGGCCTGGCACGGCAGAGCATCTYCCTGGCTGTGCCTTACACCCCAAAACCGGCTCCTTTGAGGGACAGGAGTGCGCGGAGGCACCCCGCGCCGTGCCTCAGTTTCCCTTGCCGGGGCCCGAGGCGCTCGCTCGTGTTGGCCGCTGGGCGCGCGGGCCGCAGGGCACCGCGTGTGTCCCTGCTGCGCGCCCCGGCCCCGCGTACAAAGGGCCACCGGGAGCTGCTTCCCGCCATTCCCCCCTCCTCTTCCCCCCCGAGCCCTTTTCTTCCCTCTTGCTGCCCCCCTCTTCCTTCCTCCGGCCCCTCGGCCGCGGGATAAAAGCGGYGATGTGGGAACCGCGGGGCACAAAGGCGGCCGGCACAAAGGCGGCCGCCCGTGCCCGGCCCTCGCCRCTGCCCCCGGCTCCGGGAGCCGCGCAGGGAACCGGGGGGGACCCCGGGCATCCCCGGGGCGGCCCCGGCAGCTGGCGGGGAGCGAGATTTCCCAGCGCATAGTGACAAATTCCTGGCGTTCAGGGCTGCTTTGCAGCCGCCGCGAGGGAGGAGMGGGCCCCGCGGAGGCGGATGAGAGGCCCGTGGGCTCCCGAGGGGTCCCCTCGCGCGGCCCAGCGCGCTGCCAGCACGGATCACCCCGTTCATCAACGGGCTGTCCCCAAGAGCATCCCGGCGCCTCCAGCTGGGCCTGCCTTTCTTCCTCCTCCTCCTCCTCCTCCTCCTCCTCCTCCTCCTCTTCGTGGGCTCTTGGGCATCTCCCTCCCTGTTGCCCTTCCCCCTCACTGCCCTCCCCCACCGCTTTCCCCTCTCCCTGCTCCGATTTCCCCTGATTTTCTGCTCGCTCCCAGCCTAATTGGCTCCACCTGCCAGCGAGCACCAGAAAATCGGAGCCGGACCCAGAAAATCGGAGCCGGCCCCGTGGCCCCTGGCTTGTCTGGGCAGCCGGGCGCTCCCGCAGGGCCGGCCGGGCGCTGGGAGGAGGAGACCCGCAGCTTTCCCTGCATCCAGCCAGTGTTTGCGGGTGGCTTTTCCTCCCGCAGAGCATCCGCGGCYGGTCCCCCTGCAGCTCCAAAGCCCGTGCTGAGCAGCGGGAGCTGCTGGAGCCAGGATGGGCAGAGCCGGCACCCGTGAGGGCTGTCGTGGGGTAAAGCCAGGCCRTGCTCCCTCCAAACATCCTTTCCTATTTGCCTCCCTTTCCCATTCCCCCCAGCCCACCTTGCCAGGGCCGAGCGGAGCCGCTCGCTCCCCTGCTCCCGCTCCTTCCCACCGCCGCGCTCGGCTGCGGGGGCCGCTGCCTGGAAGGCCGCCCGGGTTTTGGGTTTCCRTGGGGGCTGCGTGTCCCCCAGGACAGGGCAGAGCACTCGGTTCCCAGCAGCAGAAATGCACGCGCCGCTCCAGCAGCTCGGCCCGGTTGCAGATGACGCCTTCCCCGCACCAAAGCCGAGCCCGGGGCGCCGGCGGGGCCTGGAGGAGGTGGAAATCCTCCTTCCCGGGCTCCGCTTCCCCAGCACTTCCCCTGCCAGGGGGTGCTGGCAGTTGCTCAGGGGCGCGGGGGGGAGCGTGGTGCTCTCATCCCACCCGCTGATCCCGGGAAGGCGGTAGGGACACAGGGGCTCGGGGCCGGGAGCCCGGCTGGGACACAAAGGCAGGAGCCGGGTGCACAGGAGCCAAACGCGGCGCCCGCTCCAGGCCGCGGCCTGCGCGGGCGCC